ATTAATCTTGAAGCCTGATGCATGCATGCATGGGATACTTATACTAGTAGTCTAGCTAGCAATGGAAGCACTATAATTAATAACTTACCGCACTAACTAATTACTCCTTAATGGCTAAGATTCCAAAAGTTACTTATACATATTTTCAAATTATTTATCACCAAAAAAACAGTGTGAAGTTTCCCTCGATTTTTTCAATCTTCGAATTAGTGCATGTTGATGAGTAGTTTGATGAGTAGTGCTAGAGTCACAAACATTTTGGTCACAAAATACACAAACTTACTATTTATGTATTTAAATGTCTACTTTTTAATTATTTATCATTACTTTATTCACTTGGTGAGGTACACAAATGGAAAGTTTGTGTATTTTGTGATTGGAGTTTTTGTGACTCTAGCATTTCTCTAGTTTGATCTTAATGGAGTTTTGATGCTTTTTTTCTATATAAGATAGTAATACAAGTTGTTGAGCTTTTAATAAAGAAATAAAGATATTCGCCCCATACTGCAGGCTAGTTCAGTGGCTTATATATAGTCATCATATTTTTACGTGGATGGCATTATATGTATATACACACAGAGTATATACATTTTCTCATAACAACATAAAAACAAGAACCCTTGTAGCTTTAGACAGTTTACACTTCAGACACTAATTAAATCATTAAAGCTTTGTTTGGTTCAAAGAATAATTCGAAAAAGAAAATAAAATATGATGAAAAATGATTATTCTCCTGTGGTTAGAAAGGAAAAAAATAAAGTGAAATTTGCACTAAATAGAACTAAAACATAATGACTTTCTTAATATAGGACTTAAACTTTTTTATTTCCTAAATAGGACTTAATAATGACCTAGTGTGAAAAATAATGTCCAGTAATGATGGACATTTACTTGAATAATGACTACTTGATAATGACCAAAGGTCCTACACTGAGAAATAAAAACATATGATCTTATATTGGAAAAGTCATTATATTTTAGTCCTATTTAGGTAAATTTCTCACAAATAAAAGCCTTAGACACGGGGACGGGTTGGGGGGTTTATTGGTAAGATTTGTTATAAAAAAATTGTAAGATTAAGGACCCTCTTAATAAAAGAATGAAATCGGAATGATTGCCATAAAAATTACCGTCTAAGTCACGATGCCTGGATTAAGTCTGAAACTTAAAAGAATGAAGTCTGGAGCGGCAGATTGGACGGGAATAAGGGTTAGTGCATGTGGGTAAAAGTAAAACTAACATTTTTAAAAAAGTGCTTCAGATAATCAGATATCCAAATATCCAAAACAATCTTAAATTTAAATCCGTACCTGATTTGATTTTTTTTAGATATTTAAATCCGTACTTGATCATGGACAGATTTTTTGGGTTAGATAATTTGAAACACCCCTAGCTACTGTCACTACAAAAAAAACGCGCATTTGTCACATATTTTCTTTCATCTTCACTTCACTAAATTTTGCTACAAGCACTTTTGTCATGTACGTCGCGTTGTCACAAAAACTATCCGTTACATATAGCTGGTGACAAAACCTTTATCACGGACGATAAGGCCTTGAAAAAATATTGTCACGTATTGGTCACACCGCAAGGTGTGACAAACCAACTTCTCGTTAACATAATGAACAAGAATTTTGTCATGGACACAACCATGACAGTTTTGATAATTATTTCAAATATAATTTAATTCTTACTCCCTCCGTCCCTAAATAAAGTTCCATTTTTGACATTTTGAGGATTTAAGGGGGGGATATTTTTGTGTTGACTTTCCAAAAATACCCTTGATGTGATGTGTAAAAGTAAGATGTGATAGGTAGATTATTAGTAAAAAGGTATGATGTGATATGTAGGATATGAAAAAGTAAGGGGTTTTTTAAGGGAAAAGAGAAGTTTATTTAGGGACAAAGAAAAAACGAAAGAGGAACTTTGTTTAGGGACGGAGGGAGTATTAAATTAAAACTATTTTGAAAATGTTGTCACAGCGTTCGCCGTGACAAATATTTACGGCATATGAAAAATTTGAAAAGGCACACTAGACTTTTAAAATTCAAAAGAACACGCGAAATTTGAAATTTTGTCACAGATCAATCCGTGAGAACTAATTTTTTCTTTAAAAAAAGCGCACTTGGCGCATGTGCAAATTTTTAAAAACATTTCTTTAGCGTCTGTGAGATTTTAAAAAAAAACATTTTTTTAAATATATTTTTCTAAACATTCACAATATATATAAATAAAAATAAATAAACATTCAATTACATGAAATATACATTCCATAACATCATAACATAAAAGCATCACAAAATAAAACATCCACAAATTAAAATGTTTAGGCTTGTGGATTCAAGAAAATTATACTCCGTAAAAGTTTTTTCAATTAGAGTTGTGGATGATATATATTAATGGAACGAGCTTTAATTTGTGCGTTCTCATAATGATAAAGGGATATTTGTAGCTACTAGGAATATATCAATATTGATAGAATTTACTATTTAGGATGGGGTATGGACAACTGGATTAGGTAATAAGACACTTGGGTTGAACCACATTAAAAGATTGAATCAATCGATTACTTAATTAATTCAACTCAAGACCTTATATACCGATAACTTTTCGGTTCAACTTCCGATGTGGGATAAACTCTAACAATACCCCTCAAGTGGACAACCGGGTCATTTTAAATCTAACCGGTTGACCACTTGCAAATGAACTCTCAATCCCTTGACTTTTTTTTGAGCGCCAACACCTAAAGACCACGAGCCGCTGGGTATAGTATGGACTTCTAGACGAGCAATCGTGTTAAACAGGCCACAGGCCGTTGGGTACACACTTCATATAACGGACAACTGGGCTAAAGACAAACGGGCCGCTAGGAATGAACGTCTAGACGAACACCTTGACAAACGAGGTGGGCCAAAACCTGCTCTGATATCATGATAGAATTTAGGATGGGGTATGAACAACTGGATTGGGTAATAAGACACTTGGGTTGAATCACATTAAACGATTGAATTTAATCGATTACTTAGTTCAACTCAAGACTTTATATACCGATAACTTTTCTATTCAACTTCTGATGTGGGATAAACTCTAACAAATATGTTAGGGGTAGCCATGGTCCATGGGAGTGGAAGTGATGGAAATGAAGAAAGCATTGAGTTAACTATTGACAAAAAATAATCCTTGAGACGGCGGCTGAAGATGGTAAAAATCGCTTATACATTATATTGTTGTGGGGATACTCCGTATTTATTTTAATTTTATTTTGTTTAAGTTTTTGGGGGCATCTTAGCGTACGTAGACTTCTCATGCATTGACCGCAGATCATAGTGTAGTGGGGTTGATGCTTAAATTGGTCGTTACTTCTTTTGAATTTAATTAGTTTATACTACTCCTTCTGTCCCAAAAAACCTTTCTTCTTTCTTTTTTCATCTATCTCAAAAAACACTTCTCATTTCTATTAAAAAGTCACTTTTACCTCTTACTTTTTCATACCATAACTATCACATCATACTTTTTTACTAATAATCAATCCATCAAATCATACTTTTACCCATCACATCAAAAGATATTTTTGGAAATTCAATACCAAAATACACTCCACTTAAATCCCTCCCTAAAAGCAAAAGTCTCATGTTTCATGGGACGGAGGGAGTACTGTTATACTCCCTCCGTTTGGAAAAACCCTTCCCATTTGATTTGGGGGCAAAAATAAGGAAGTGTTAAATTATACTCCCTCCGTCCCTAAATAAAGTTCTATTTTTGATTTTTTGAGGATTTAAGAGAGGGATATTTTGGTGTTGACTTTCCAAAAATACCTTTGATGTGATGTGTAAAAGTAAGATGTGATAGGTAGATTATTAGTAAAAAGGTATGATGTGATAGGTAGGGTATGAAAAAGTAAGGGGTAAAAGGGGTTTTTTAAGGGAAAAGAGAAGTTTATTTAGGGACAAAGAAAAAATGAAAGAGGAACTTTATTTAGGGACGGAGGGAATAGTTGATTTCCAATTTTGCCCCTGATGTGATGGGTAAAAGTAAGATGTGATGGAGAAATTGTTAGAGAAAAAGTATGATGTGATAGGTAGGGTATGAAAAAGTAAGGGTAAAAGTGGTTTTTTAATAGAAAGAGGAAGTATTTTGTTGGAAGTGGAAAAAATGAAAGAGGAAGTGTTTTTGAGAACGGACGAAGTATATTTTAGTGTAATTGGAAAAACTACGACCAATGGTATCCTAATAATCATCAAAGAAGTTTGGTGGTGCGGAGTGCACGCTTCATTGAGTTTGTTACGATAAAAAATCTCGTTACACCAGGGGTTCCAAGGGGGCAGCGCCCCCGAGCAGGGTTCAAGGGGCGGCAGCCGAATTTGAAGAACTTCCGCGCGAAGGATCGCGTAACTTGGGAAAGAGATGCGATAGGCATCTTCTCCCTCTGCCGCAAATTTATAAATTCCTGCAGGCCATGGTCGAATTTGGCAGTTCGGATTTTTCATAGCAATTCTCATATTTCGTTCTTGATACTTTCGAGTTTTATCCGATTGAATTTTGGAGTGAACAACCAAAATATTCAATCTGAAAGTGTTTACACAACTCTCGATTCATCCAAGTTATCGTTAATTTCCCCAACAAGTACTTCGTATAATGTATAAAAAATAAAAAATAACAACACATTATTTAGTGCTATGTGCTTATTTCTTCTCTTTTTAGACATGGAAAAACATAAAAAGATAGGGCTTAACAATACATCATGATTTATTTATCGTTTTAATATATTGTGTGTGATTTTGGATTATATATAATATAGTTGATATATTGTTTTTATCATGCCATGCAGGCAACACAACACACAAATGAAAAATCTAGCTACTTTGGCGGCTTAATTGGCCAACACCACTGTTAAATATATTCTATATTTAATGTAAATATATTCTTTCCTATTATTGACTCCTACTGTGTATAGGAATAGGAATCTCATGTCTATATAAACACATGTACTCCCACATATTCTTTCAATGAAAATAATCTTTCTACATGGTATCGGAGCCTAAAAACACAAAACCCTAATCCCCCTCTTCTCCTCTTCTACCTCTCGGCCTAGTCACGCCGCCGCCCTCCTCCTTGCGCTGCCTCCTCCTGCGGCGCACTCGGATTCCCACACAACCGGCAACCTCCTCTTCCTCTTTCTCTTACCATGGCTGACGTAAGCGAGATCACCTCTCAAAATCTCTCCTCTAAACCCCCACATCTTGCTTTCACAACTGTCTCCAACGTGAAACTCCACGTTCCTGTTCAACTCAGCCTCTCTCAACCTAATTACAAGAAGTGGAGTCGTCTGTTCCTCCTCTTAGTCAGGCGATTCAATCTTCAGGGCTATATCGACGGTTCCGTTGTCCCCCTCTCCGACGACGACGACGAATGGTTCCAACTCGACGCTCTCCTCCAGGGTTGGATTCTCTCTACCATCACCGATGAGGTCTCAGATTTGGTAATCTCCTCTGTCTCTACTGCCTCTGCTCTCTGGAAAGTCGTTCACGACTTGTTCCACGACAACAAACATGCCAGGGCCATGCAGCTGGAGCATGAATTCCGCACAACCATCAAAGGCAACTCCACCATGGCGGCTTATTGCCAACAATTGCAGAATCTGGCCGACTGGCTGGACGATGTTGATGCACCAGTCTCCCAGCACCAACTTGTTCTCCAGATGCTTCGTGGTCTCCCTGCAGATCTTCAGGCACAAACATCTTTCATGCAATTCCAGGATCCCATGCCAACT